TCCCGTGGGAGTGGACCTAAGCCAGAAGATGGACATCCCCTGAGGGGTCCCAGACTTCAAGAGGGCACAGGCCAGGCTGAGGGACGCCCCCCCCCGCCAGTGCACAAATTTTTGTGCACCAGGCCTCTAGTCAATTAATAATATGAATGATTGAATAATACTCTGTTCTACAGATATTTAGCTAAATAACTATTTCCCCAATGATACACACAGAACAAGGTCTAGAAGACAATAAACCTACATGTTCACATTGACTGCCTTTAGGTATATGAGACATTTTCCTTCATTTTGCTTGTCATTGTTTTCTGAATTTTCTGTAATGAAAAAGTCCCTCTTATAATAAAAACTTTTTAAAGTTAAAACATACAAAAATTGTTCTGATACAATTTTAGTTAAAAAGCTTATGGGGGCGGGGGGGGGGAAGCAAGTGTATTTCTTAAAAAACAATTAGCAAACAGCCTGGCCTGTGTTGCAGGAGGCAGCCTATCGATGTTTCTCTCATCAATGTTTCTCTCTATATATCCCTCTCCTTTCCTCTCTCTCTAAAATCAATAAAAACATATTTTTTAAAAGGTTAGCAAATAAACCCAACATGGCAGATGAATGTTCAGTTTAATGCGAAAAGAAGCCCATTTTATTTTTTTAATTTATTTTTACTTACTTGTTTTAAAAAAATATTTTTTATTGATTTCAGAGAAGGGAGAGGGGAGAGAGAAATAAAATATCAACGATAAGAAAGAATCATTGTCAGTTGCCTCCTGCACACCCCACACTAGGGATTGAGCCCACAACTCAGTCATATGCCTTAACGGGGAATCAAACCATGACCTCCTGGTTCATAGGTCGATGCTCACCCCGAGCCATGATAGTTGGGCAAAGAAATAACATTTTAAAACACAATGTGTTCCACATTACCTCATCTGGTGTCACTTTTCCAATCCTATAATCAGGACAATACAAGGAATTAGCCAAGGCATTTCGGTAAGCTGCAGCATGCAGATTTTCAATGATATCTGAAAAATAAGTAAAGAAGCAGTTATGGATATATAATTTAAAAAAAGACAACATTTAGAATTTATAAAGCAACTAGACTATACAGCTGTGGTCATCTTATGGCAACTTTTACTTATGTTTATTTTGTTAATCCTCACCTGAGAATATTTTCTCCTTTGATTTTTAGTCAGAGTGGAAGGGAGGATGGGAAGAGAGGGGGAGGGAGAGAGAAACATCAATGTGAGAGACACATGGATTGGTTGCTTTCCACACATGCCCTGACTGGGCTGGGGATCAAACTTGCACCCCAGGTACATGCCCTTGACCAGGAATCAAACCCGTGACCCTTTGTTGAGTGGGCCGATGCTCTAACCACTGAGAAACACTGGCCAGGACATCTTATGGAACTTTTAAAATTTTGCCAGTTGAAACTGCTGAGAAAAGTAAGAGATTATACATATGACCGTTTTTACACACTAGAATCCACATAAATACTTTTCTATCTACCTGGTGTTATCTGGAAAGTATAAAGGAAGTCTGACTTGCCCTAAGACTTTGTACAAATTATTTAACCTAAATTTATTTACTTCTAGGTTCCCTCTAGATAATGAGGGAGCTGTCAGGGTAAGAGGCTCTAGGAGAGCGTGAAGCTTAGGTCCTATCACTAGCTTTCAGGGATCAAATGCTACCACCAAATTGTACTCCTCCCCAGTGCCCTGGTGCTGTCCCGGCTTCCTGCTTGAGCCTTTGCTTGAGCTATGTCCCTTTCATTTACTTACTGTTGGGCAATCTTCCTATGCCAGGTCCTGTGCAAGTGCTGGCAATACAGAGACGAGCCTATCCTCAAAATGTTGAGAAAGCCCTAGCTGGTTTGGCTCAGTGGATAGAGTGTCGGCCTGCGGACTGAAGGGCCTCAGGTTCAATTCCAATCAAGGGCACATACCCAGGTTGTGGGCTTGATCCCCAGTAGGGGTGTGCAGGAGTCAGCTGATCAATGATTCTCTCTCATCATTGATGTTCCTATTTTCTATCTCTCTCTCCCTCTTCCTTCCTCTGTGAAATCAATAAAAGAAAGAAAACCAAAACATTGAGAGGAAAAAAAACTGCGAGATCAAGTATTATGGGTATGATGTCAATAGTACATCAAAAGTGCAGAGGGACATGGGAAGGCAGTGGGAACTAGATAGGAGTTAACAGAAGTAAACTCTGGGATGAATGAGTAGGTGTTTGCCAGGTGAGTGATTTGGGAATGGCATTTCAAGCAGCAGAAAGAGACGACGGCATAAAATATGAGACAATTTGATTCATAGGGGGAACTGCAGCTAGGAGGGGCAGGCGAGAGCAAGAAACAAGGGAGGCAGAGGGCCAGGCCACATATGTTAGCACATATGCTATGTTACAGAGTCTGGGGTTTCTCACAGACAATTAGAAGCCGTTAAAGGATTTTCACTGGATGATCATGTCACAGGGATCACTGTACTGTCACAGCAATGGGAGGATGGGCTGAAGATGTAAACCTGCAGGCAGACGCCTGCCAGTAGACACTAACTGCTCAGACAGAAAGGATGAGGACTGGAGCCTCACTGCTACCAGCGGGGAAGAAGCCACTCTGTACACACAAGTCATCTTTTGTAAATTTTACCATTCTATCTCTAAAGTATCTTCCCACAATATATACACACTTCAAATAATTAATTCCAATGGGTTATATCTGAAAAGAAAGAAACATCAATTGAGCTATCAGCTGTTAAGTGAGTATACATTTTTCTGGGACACCCTTTCTTTGGTAGAAGTTGGGCGTAACAAAGATCATACTCCTTTGTGACACAAAGTATCACCATGCAATAACATCAGCTAACATGAACCAAGCACTCATTATATTGCCAACAGTTGACAGGAGACGAGGGTCTGCATGCTGCCTTTCTGTCTGTCTCTGTGTATTAGGTAGATCTGCTATGACTCCCCAACTTGTTATAATGGCTTTATGATGTAGGTGTCTTGTGGGACTCAGTGGCTCAATCTTCTAGATCACCTGAGCTAGGTGCTCCAGGAATGTCTCTTGTGGGTTATGCGCGCCCTCCTATTGTAATTGAGTATTACATGCTGTGGGCCTGTTCATGGGTGGAGTTAACCCTCAGGTTGGCTGACTATAAGGATAAACCTCGATCACAGTGTATGAGTCACTGTGCAGGGGCGGCGCCCTGGCCCGCCCCCCCCCCCCCCCGGACCCCTGAGTTGGAGTTGTTTCCAGTAGGGTCTGGTGCCTGCTGGAATCCCCCTTTGCATGTGCTGTTCATGTGGCTAGTTGGGTTGAGCTCTGGAGTGGTCTAAAGTCCAACACTGGTTGTGTTGGTTTCCCAGAACCACTTGGGCAGGTTTCTGGTGCAGGCTGATGTCAGATGCTGCGAGTAACTGGCCTTGGGCTACCTGTTTGGAGCTACCACACTAGTCACTGTTTGTGGCAGCTGCCTTTTGCGCTTGGATGTGTGTGGGAGGGACCAAGCTGTGTACAAGCCTCGGCTTCCTCTGGGGGCAGATCAATGAAAGGTCTAAGGCACCCTGAGGTCTGTCTACTCCGTCACCCTCTGAGGCCATCTGGTCTTCCTCCAGGGCCTTCTGAAGAAAGGCTGTAGAGTGGGCCCAGGCTGCCTGCACCCACAAACACTTCCACAGGGTGTGAGCTCGGTAGGGCAGGGTGACAGGAGTTGAGAGGACCAATCGAGTGGGTCTCCTGCGACAGGCCTGCATGCTGAGCGAAGCCCATGCCACACAGAGCCTATTTAGACCTGAGTGGTCTCCCTGCACATCTGCTTCTACCAAAAGTTGTGTGACTTCCAAGTGGTGGTGGTTATTTACAAATGTATTTTTCCAGTTGTACTTGTCAAGATTATATAATCAAACATTACATACATACAAAATATGAATACAAAAAAGTCATTTTAAAAAAATTAAGTAGCTTGCTTTGGAAAGACCCAATAAAGGTGGGTTGGCTGAACAGTAACAGCCACACATAACAATAAACAACATCAGCAGCACCAATAAACTGCTGCTGGGTGTGGTGGAAGCAAAACAAACAAATGGACAAAACATGGGGTAGAGGGACAGGAAAATGCCTGTTTCCATAATCAATATATATCATCAAAGATGAAAAATAATTACCAATATAAATATTTAGAAACAAAAGAACAAACAATATATTTAAAAAACTGGACAAATTTATGAAAAAGGCATGTTCAAACCCAAGCAGAAAAAAACTTCAGCGACATTGTTTCCCCCCCCCGATAAACTCATCCTCTCAAAAAACCAGTATCTTAGAAACAACTGATGTAATCTGAAAATGCACTTACGAGCCTGTGGATTCTGAAGAGCCACAGCTTTGTCAATCCTCAGCTGAGACTGAAGGGCAGCCACCTCCCAACGACGAAATTCAGGTGCTGTGGTGACATTGAGCAGGAACTCCATTAGAATTTCGCTACAGAAGACATCAAGATACAAGTTAGGAGTCAAAAACTTAAAACCAACATCCATTCTATGTAACTAACAACCTCAAAATAAACTTTAACCTTGTGGCAAGTACACTGTTTTAAGCACTTGGCAAATCATAACCCAAAACCAAATTCAGAGATAATGCTACATTTAGAACTGAGCAGCTTAGTATTTCTTTAAAAGTAGACATCCTAACCCTGGCCAGGTACCTCAGTTGGTTTTGGTGTTATTCCAATACGCCAAGGTCATAGGTTTGGCAGAAACATGAATCAAGCAATGAATGCATAAATAAGTAGAACAACAAATTGATGCTTTTCTCTCTCTGAAATCAGTAACTTTTTTAAAAAAGCAGATGTCCTAATACATGCAGGTGCTTACATGTCATCCCGCAGGCATTCCACAGTGTAGGCCATGTTTTCTCTTGTTGAAGTCACACTGCATCAGAAATAATGACAATGAATTATTGGAATCAAAAGTTTTCCCTTATACCTTTGTTAAACCAACCAGTTCCTTGGGAAAAAAAACCCACAGAACTATTTTGAAGTATAAAAAAGTAAAAATAATATACATATTCATCAACTAAAATTTTAAAAAGCACCCTGACTGGTGTGGCTCAGTAGATAAGAGCATCGGCCCATGCACTGAAGGGTCTCAGGTTCAATTCCTGGTCAAAGGCACATACCTGGGTTTTAGATTCAATCCTTGGCCCCGGGCATGTACGGGAGGCAACCAATTAATGGCTCTCCCCGCATGCCCCCCTCCATTCTCTCTAAAAATCAAAGGAAAAAACAAAAACAATTCCCCTCCCAAAAAACTATGTTGTACATTTGAAACTAATATAATACTGTATGTCAACTATAATTGAAAAGTGAAAATTAAAGATATTTTTTAATAAGAAAATAGCAAAAGAAAAAAGCAAATAATTTAATCTTAAAAGGAAATCCTGACATATTATACATAGATGAATCTTGAAGACATTACGCTAAGTGAAATAAGTCAGTCATAAAGGGACAGATATTGTATGATTCCACTTATATTAGATGCCTAGGTAGTCAAAACACAGAGACTGAACACAGAAGGAGCTGGGGAGGGTGAAAACATTCTGGAGATGCATGGTTCTGATGGCTGCTTCATGCCACTTACTGTAGAACCGTACACTTAAAAGTGACACATTTTATGTTATTTTACCACAACTTAAGAAAAAGAAAAAAAAAAAGACAAGTGACATTGCAGATCTCTGTATCCTTCCCAGGCTAATTTCCTTACTCTCTCCCACTCTAGAGACAAACATATTCATAAGCATTATACATTATTATTTTGCTTTTAAAAAAATTATAAATGCCTCATACTTTAAAAAAAATCTTGGAATAAAATTTTCCATAAAATATTGTTTTTAGTCTCTGTTGATACGCAGCTCTAGCTCATTCCTTAGCTGCGGTGCAGTAGTCCCATGATTTGAGTGTATCATACTTTACCCATTTCCCTAAAAGTGGCCATTGAAATTGCTTCCAGGCTCTACAAGGACATCTTTGTGCATGGATTAAAAAATGCTAGGTTTTAGGGTATGCTCATTTTCAATAATACTAGGTATTTCTTGATTCTTTCCTAAGTAGTTATATCAATTTATACTCCCATCAGCCGTAAAAGATAATTTCCATCTCCCATAACACTCCAACACAACATATAAAAACTGTTGGGTGTGGCATGATAGCACACTATTGATTACAAGTAAAGATTGCTGTTTCTGGCTTCCTCTTCTGGTATTAGCCTGTTCTTATCCTTTGTTCGTCCATCTTCTCTTTGGTTGTTTTTTAAACCCTAACTTGTAATTCTTTATTTTTCCAAACAATCCTCTCCATGTTATGTGTGTTGCAAATATCTATGTCCAGTTAATTAACTTTTTACTTTAAAGCATGAAGATGATTTACATTTTGATGTAGTCAAATTCATTAGTTTTTTCCTTCTTTAAGAAATCCTTAACCATCTTGATAACAGAGAAAAGTGCCCATACAACAGAATATTTTCTGGTGTTTTCACTATTTATTTACTATTACTTATTTTTAACAAACCTTAATTTACCACCAACTGCTTCAATTCCACGGGTTATCTTAAAAGATGACGCTCCTTTTGTAGTCTTAAAAGAGAAAGAACAATTGTTTTTAGTTTTTTAATGCTAAGTTTGCCAAACAGCACACTATATCATAACGTACTATCTTACTGTCATTAGATTCAAAGGGAACTTTACCTTGAATGATGGATCCCTTTTAGTTTAAGAATTATAAAACAAAGTTCACCAAAAAGCACAAGTATAGATTTTTATATAAAGTACATTTAGGCAAAAATTCCATTATCAAATACAAGCTTACTGGATTCATCAGTCTTTTCTGAAAGAGATTTGCATATGGGGAAGAATAATTTTTTTAATTTTTGGTATTTTCTAAAAATTGAATTAAAAAAAAACTTGTCTTTTTATGCTCCAGCATGAACATTTAGATGGACACTAATTTAATACTTCTCTGTGGTAAACATGCTGTGGTTTTTCATGTTATATTAGGGGATTGTAGAGGGTTGAATAGTGTCCCCCCAAAATTCACGTCCACTGTGACTGTGACCTTATCTGAAAATAGTGTCTTTTGCAATGTATTTGAAATGAGGTCACAGTAGATTAGAGTGGGCCCTAAATTTAATAGGAATGGAAGACTCAAGTAAGAGGGCCATTTGGACACAGAGACAGAGGAAATACTGTGTGACAGGAGAAAATGGAGAAAGGCAGCTATAAGCCCAGGTACACCAAGGACTGCTGCCACCACCAGAAGGAAGAGGCGGGGCAGAGGGAACACGGTCCCACTGACACCCTGAGTGTGACTGCTAGCCTCTAGAAATCTGAGGATCATTTCTGTTGTCGAAGCCACTCAGTCTGAAGTAGATGTTATGGTAGCCCTCACAATCTAAGACAGGCACATGCTTTTCTTTCCTGTAGACCAGGAGGCCACGGTATTTCTAAACATAATGAGGCAGTAAAGATGCTTACCAGACTAGATGCAAGACGAAGCAAATGAGAGGTTCCTAAGTTGTTAGAGTCCTCGTACCTACTGCCAGCTTTAACGAACAGACCGATTCTTGATGCAGGAGCATAGTTTTCCAGAGACGCAATCACTAGACCATTTGGTAACTTGGTAAACTGCATTTAAAATAAAGCAGAAACAATCACATAAAGCAGAGATGTGACTACTGTCTTTATATTACCCAAGATATAAGGCATGTGTCCGTTCCGGGGAGCCACTCCGTGAGACTCACCTCAAGGTCCTGAGGATGTACAGGCGCTCCTGCAGGGGCAGGCGTGACTTTCACTTTGGGAGCAACTTTGAGGGAATAAAATCTCTAAACATACAAAAAAGAAAGGTTACAGACATTTCTCAGAAAAACAGTATATCGTATCCTAGTGTGCCCAAGCAATAGAAGGTGTTCAGGGGTAAAAGAACTCCATGGGAAGATTTGGCTGATTAACTTATCATGGACTTATGAACCCACCATTTTAGCCACGCCTCTCTTAAAACTCTATTTATGTGTGAGTTGTAGAGCCTGAAGGAATGCCAAGTTCTACACACTCACTTTTATGTTCCA